CCCTAGCGAGTAAGTCGCCAACTGTGCACTTCAAGCGCACTTTCTACCGCTAGTTCGATGAACTACCGTCAATCCGAATGGATCGTCAGCATGGACAGGAAAGGTATTCAAGCACGACCCGATGTGCCTTCACAGACGAATATCAGAATAACATCAATCGAGTTCAGCTAATCGTTCAGCGAGATCAGCAGATATTTATCGCCGCGTTGGGGCGAGACTGGCCGTTTCTTAATTCTACTAGGTGCATTGTCGTCAAGTGCTAGAAAAATTCGCACACTATCCGGATGTTTATCACACCACTGGTCAAATCAACGTGGGTTCTCGCAGTTAGGCGACAGCTTGCTGTTTCTACAGATTAATCGAATTCGATCATATCATCACGAAAGATTCGAAGAACAAGCGAAAGTCGAGATCAGGATCATACCATCGGCATATCCGGCACCTAAAGCAGGTTGGTGTTTGCCTGAAGCGAGTATCAGCATAAAGCCTCGTGCGACAATTACGTGCCTGTGCATCATGTAAAAGTATAGCCTTCGACGACAAATAAACCTGACTACGAGCTAACAAGGTTAATTGGGAGAAATTGAGACGTCTGAACGAGGCAGCATACAATGTGACACGGCAATGAAAAGTAATGAAGACGAACGAGTCACAAATGACAATGAACAAGCCATCGACGAATACGCAATAAACCAATTCCAAACGAGAAGATACGCTAGAATTGCAAAGAAATAAATACAGCAGACAACAACATCAAAAACGAAACATGCCTGTATGAAAGCAAATTGGCCATTCTACAGACTCGGCACCTGAGATAGGGTCTCACAAGGATCTCGTGTCATTCGGATCACGAACAGGACGTCATCGTAAGTTCAGACCTGATTCAGTAGTTCTCAAGTCCTGTTTTCGCGGACAATTTAGACATATTAACAATTTGTGCCGTGAGTTAACGGCTGAGGAAACTGATACGGTGGTATACAAGCCACCGCAGTAGCGGTTCTGGAGGACGAATGCACGGTACTTCAAATAAAGGTAAATCTCGAATCACTGGAATCATGTTCAGCACAAAATTCAGTTATCGGTTCTCTGCGAGCCTGATTTATGAAGAAAGGATAGTTCTATTATTACAGAATGTCTATCATTAAGCAATGCGTAAAATTTCGTGGCCATTTTCGCGCTTGTCGCAGTCAGTTACGTAATCGACTTCGAACACGGCATACAGCAGAGCAGAACCACTCTCCTCTCTGATATACCGCTGCCTGTTGAGGTTCGGATGTACATCGATGTTAACACCTCGGTTGTTATGCCACCAGTCAGGAGCTCCTTGCTGCATTTCTTCCACACCATATCTATGGCGACACCACAAACGGTCACCCGACTAATTCAACTTCTTTTCGTGCGATGTTCAAGAGTGAATCACAATTCAATGCTTGTTTCGAAAAGCCACAAGAGGGCAGCTTCCGATTCTTGCAGTATCACGCTTAGATGAGCAGCGGGCAACATTTCGGTGGTCGAAATTCGTGTCATTAAACCGCATTATCACAACGTATTCTCGTCGTTCGCTTCCAGAAGCCTAGACACCCTTCGAGCTACATCAGTCATGATCAAACGGCAAACTAGACGTCTAAAAATGAAGATACGGTGTGAATACGTTTAGATAACCCGGTTAAGTGGCACGATATTGTTATTTTCGACAGTGTCGAAAACAGCTATGGTTAGCAATCGCCAAAGAATACCCACAATTGAAGCTCGCGCTTTTCTCCATCAGAGAATACTTAGCAGCACATCTGTAAATCGCTTGTGGTTGCTGCCGAACAAAGTAACGGACCGAAATACACAAAATCCAACAATTCAACAGTCGCACTAACTGCACTAACTGAGGATTCGAAGAAGGGTCAGCAGCTCGATCAAATCGTTTTCCTCATCCATCGTCCGACTCGACTGCCGACATTCATGCCCCGAAAGGGACGATCGAAAGAACGAGTACGTTATCGGCTGCTGCGAGAACGAGTCGGTGGTTTCGAAGCGCAAATCAGGAGCTGCGTCTTGTGACCTCAACCGACAGCTGCTCGAATTCATCAAAGTACCGAACGCAGTTCTGAAATCCGTGAGATGAGACCGGTCATGATGAACATTACATGGCCAGCGTAGGGTCACATCGATCGTCCAGCAAGCGAAACCGCTGACCACCGGCTCGCCACTGCGCGGCTACGACGACGTTTCAAGCGCACGGTCGATACTAAAAACAGTTTACTCAGACTATGCAAACAACGGACACCGGATAAGAAGCACAAACACAGATCGACAGCTACGATGCGACACGCGCCAGACAGTCTAAAGACTTTCGGAACGAAAATACAGGCATCACAGGCGGCATCAGAATCGGCAGGATACGGCTACGACGATGGAACGGCGACAGACACTATCTCGTACGTCGCAAGCCGTTCGTCCGCAACAGGGTCAGCCCTCCCCTAACGGCCGATCACCCAAACCTCAGAACACGTGCAAGTGCAAATCGCAGACGGCATAAATTAACTGCCGGCAGCTTCAGTGACATGAGTATGCAGACTCAGACTCGGCTGCGAACGGCAGAACGTAGTTTTGTAGTTTTTGCGGTAATTCTTTGGTCAAATTATTCGCTAGTTGAGAAACGCGCAAAAATAGACCACAATGAAGAAGCAGAACACGCCCAACCGTCGCGTACATGATCTCCTAGACAAGGAAGAAAATCGCTTCAGTGACCGTGGAGCCGATGAAGCGCTGATCGGCAGGGGTGCGGGCATACCACGGATGAACGACGCACGTACGTTGCGATTTAAACGGGAAGAACACGCGTCGCACGTTCTTGTTTTGCACTTGTGGCGAGAGAGGTGCTCGGCAACGCACTACCTGTCGCCAAAATTATGCAAGAACCAAAGAAGTTACGCGATACATGCTGAGTCACACCATCAGTCAGCAGCAGGCAGCGCCGCCGAGGAGGCAAATTAGCGTGCATGGCGAGCACGTCAATGGAGGCCGAAAAACAGCTGCTCATGATCGTTAAGAATACCCGGAAAGCACGCAGAGCGTGATGCCAGTCGGCATCATCGAAATGATGCAAATTCATGCACTCGCCCCTCGCCCTCAGTAAAAACGTTAAAACTTACGGACGCCCGCTACTGCCGATACACTACTGGGCGTTACGCACGACTTTCGCGCACCCTTGTCGGAACGGGACACGCGAAACGCGACGTCAAGTACCATTCGGCTTGAAAAAGCAGTCACTGCTGTCTGACAACGGGAAAACTGTACCCGCACTAATTATCCTGCTCTTTGCAGGAGAACAAAAGAGACAGAAGACGGGTAGCAGTCATCAGATATGTACCTACATGAACAGCGCAGCAACAAAATGGCAACGGCATGAAAACGGCGGCTGTTGTCTGAAGCCTTTAAACGGAGCCAGTGAGGACGGTGCCGATCATTCATGATGCGGTGTTCGCCTGTCTCTGCATCGAAATGCTTCATCCCCTTTAAACTGGCCCATGTTCTTCAGATCCTTTACTCAGTCAAAGTGGAGCAAGTTTACTTTGAGAGATCGATACTGCTGCTATGTTTTACGATCATTTCCAAGATAACAGTAACCTTCACAGCTACCGCAATCGCTACTACTAGCAACAGCACTAATGCTAGTAATCAACTAGCAGTTTACTAACCATAGTACTGCTACTAATAGCGTCATTAGCAACAGAGCTATTGCTGATGGCATTACTACTAACAGTAGTAGCAACACTATTAACACCAGTATGAGCTATTTGCAGTACAGCTATTCCTAACCGTAATACGACTAATGCCGCACAACAGCAGTACTACTACAAGCAACAACATCACTACTGATACTTTCACTAGTATTACTTCATAGATCACTACTATTAACAGTACTCCCACCACACATAGTAGTAGAGCAGAACTGTACCAGGAATAAGATGACCAGTATCATCAGTACTAATAACAGTAACAGTACTCCCACCACTAACAATATTAGTGTTATTTCAATCACGCTCAAGGAAATATAATGCGAGTGCTATGAAAATCTTAATTAGCTCGAGGACACGACCAGCTCACGGTTAGAAAACGCAAGCACTCTTCTCAAAAATCAAACTGTTTCCCATAACGCCGCCTTCCGCAGCTTATCAATCTTGAACGCCTCCTTGTCATTAACAGGTGCTGGTGGTTCTTCTGCAGCTTTCCGAGGGAACCGATCACCACAGGAATGGCTTCAGACTCTAGCCACAAATTATTTACAAATATCCATCATCACTTTGTCATATTTCAGCATATTTTCTCGCCCATTAACAACTCTGACGTCCGACGGACATGCCATAACGATAATTTATGCCAGCCTTTCCGCCTTCTCTACGAAAATCGAGCAGGTATTTTATTCTCAATTCATATAGGAGATTCTAGGGTATATCCTAGCTCACGAGAAAAAAACCTACCGGGAAGCCTGTAACAGTGGAATGCCGGTCTTCCTGAAGCTTTCATGATGGGGCCATTTCTGGAACGCATCTTTTAATAAACTTAATGGTGGGGCGCTGATGCTAATACCAGTTCCATGCCAACAGTCAAGACTGCCTTATGTTATAGGCATAGTCGAAGTCGACAGCAGGGAAATGGCAGTCGCCGTTCGTAGTCTCTTCTAAGCTTACCGCTTGTGGGTCGGCTCGCTTGCACAGATACCAGTGGAGCGTCCTTGCAACGTTCTTGTCTCTTTCTCGGTATGCTTGATGCGCTAACGTTTCTCAGTCGGAAACTAAACGGATCAGGATTTCACTCTTCACTCAACACATTCTAAAATTTGCGCCCAGTTGTGTGTGATAGATCTTTGCCCTGAGCACGAGTTTGTGTATTATGCTTGATTTTCGACGGCTATTAGAAATCTTTTACTTTCGCACAGAATCTGCTTTTTGACGGTCGTTCGAAAGACTCGTGTACATTTACGACTTCAACAAGTTAGCGAAAGTACTGACGATGAAGCACTTTATACTTCCAATCACTGTATCAAGTAGTTTATAGGTTTTTCAGGAAGTGTCTCTCATTTTCAGCTGTTTCCTGTTCTACTTTGCACATGCGGTTCATCTTACGGCCGTCAGAACATCACTGTTCACTGTCGTCAGTCTCATAGCCTTGCGGATGATGTTTACAATTCCAGCGAATCGTTCGTTCTTAATGCAGTAGCAATCTACTAAAAATGCTACTAATAACAACGGAACTACTACAAGGTCTATTCGCATTAGTAGTTTTAGTAATACAGTACACCTGCACTAAGAATATGACTATTATGACTAATGATGCATAAACAGTAGCATTACTGCTGCATGTACCACTGTTGTTTATAGCATCATCTACTGTAGTAGTCACATTCTTAGAACAATAGCAATCTACTAAAAATACTACTAATAACAACTGAAATACTACCAGGAACAGCGCTACTATTAATAGTTGTGATAGTATTGGTGTGATTCTATACAGTACCAATGCTAGCAGTCTCTGAGCACGTGTAACGAGATATTACGGAAAAAGGGCCACCGAGCAAATTACGGAGGATAAAATGAACAGCTGGATATAGACAATACCAAACATTAGAACTGCAAAGTGAAGCAAACCGACATAGCCGTGGCTTAAGTCGACTACAAGAAGACAACTGATTCAGAGCTACACAGATAAATCGTAAAATACTTGGAACTACGCAACCTCAGCTGCGGCCTAAGGGAATTTTCCGCGGCGACAATGAAGCAGTGACGCACAACACTTCTATGTAACATACCCACCCTGGATTCGATGAACGTAAAGCGAGGAATCATTCAAGGAGAGCGGAATTCGCAGCTGTTGCTGTCAGACTACATTGAAATTCTCAGCAACACCAGAAATGGATGTAAGCTAATGGATTAGAGCCTAATATCGCACTTGATGTACATCGACCTGAAGCTCTATGCGAGATCTGATCGAAAGCGCGCGAAGATCTTTTCGGAAGACACTAGAATGGAATCGGGTTTGAATGTGTGCTGTGGTGAAAATTAAGAACGGCGTAAAACTGCCAACTGGTAAAATACGGAGCCTTGAATAAAGCCAATCTTGCAAAGACCTCAGCTTACTACAACCTGGCTGTACGATAAGTACAAACATTGAGGAATCGATTAAAGAAAACGCATGAGAAAGTAATCCGCAAAATCCTGAACTGTGGCCATTACTTAGTACGTTACACCAATGTGCATGTGCACACAGGAGATATTGTAGGAGAATGGCATAAGAGCACAGACTACGCCTGGAAAGTAAAGAAAGAAGGACGTCGAACCTGTACGGGACAGTAATCCCGAGCGCAGAATTGCAAAACCATTGTTTCTGGCGTGAATGAGGAAGCGACTAACGACGCAGTATCATACATATGCTTGAACTGGAAACAGCATGCTGGAGGCGAAATCTGGTGAAACAGTGTACGACAAGATGCCGAGTGCTGTGAAGACAGACAGTTTCTGCGAGTAACGACTCATAACATGATAACAAGCGAGCGAAATTGCCAGGAGAATTTAAAAACGGCCCGATACAGACGAGATCAGGCACGGGTGCCAGAACTAACAGATCTGAATACGATACGATCGTCAGAAGGAAAAATAACTTAACTGATCGTATCTTCGGAAACCTGGTGTAGACAAGGATAGCCATCAGACTAGAAGTGGATATCGAGGATTAAATTTAATCTAACAGCCACCCAAGCCCAAATACGTAGTACGCAGCCCCACGAATTCGTTTGATACCAATATCCTGCACATGAAACTGGAAACAAAGTGTAGAGAGCGTCAAGTAAACGATGAAGATATCGTGACTCGTACAGTCGCCAGCAGCCGAATGCTCGCCAGCGGAGAGTATAAAGGAGATAGTAACGTTGCACAGACAGTCGACTGACAGTTGCGCAAACGAATCAGTATATCGGCGGCAAAGCAATGGTAGAGACTTTCGTCGATAAAAGTAGAAGACAAAGAATAACTGATAATACTCTGGGACCAACCAATAGACAGACAACAGCTCATTCAGACATCGTATTGACAGTGAAAATGAAAAGACGGGCGCAAATTGTTTATACAGCACGTCCGGCCGATAGTAATCTTTCTACTATGGGAAAAGCTAATGATAAAATAATGAAGCGACTAGAATTAAATATTAAAAGGAAAGAATCGGAAATTAAAGGCAGGAGTAAACCATTTGGCGATAAGTAGCGCTGAGGCAGAGAGAGAAAAACAATGAGTGACGCGATCAAGATC